CTGTACTACAGTTGGTGTCGGCGATCGGCTTCTTATGTCTGAAACCGGGACATGCACAGTTGCTTCAGGGTGGACATATCTACATGGTAGACACATCTTGCCGCTACACTGGTGTCACCCCGTATAGGATGCATGCCAACGATCCCCGCATGATTGTCGGCATTCAACCTATACGGGGTGACACCGGACCCGCTCCAAAAAAAGGTAAGTTGTAAAGAAAGCCGACGATCCCCGCAGGATGTTTCCGATCCATCCTGCGGGGATTGTCGGCTTGCTTTACAACTTATCTTTTTGTGGAGCGGGTCCGGTGTCACCCCGTGTGGTCGGTGTCAACCGGTGTGGACCGCACCCAACGCACCTGCCTCGGGACGCCACTGCTACCAAGTATCAAGAGGGATATGAGTGAGGAGATAGGAGAGGAGGATTGGAGGGAATGGTGCCTTAAATACACAAGGGCATTATGAATGTCTCCCTTGTAAAAGCAGGCTATAAGGTCCTCCCTCGCTAGTATTTAGTTCCAGAACGATTGTCAGAAATGTACCCTGGCTCCTCCTCACCTGTTTCCAAGGATGTGGGCAAATGGGAACAATATTCCATGTCTTGTGCACGTGCCCTAAGGTTAGAAGGTACTGGATACGAGTTAATTCCCTGATTTTCACAGTGACCATGATGTCATCAAGAACCCTAGAACTGCACTGCTTAATGAAACCATTGTTGGAGCTTCCCAGATTCCCTCAAACCCTAATTTTTTTCATGTTCCTGGCAGCCAAAATTGCGATCGCTACTGCTTGGGAAAACGTGGTAGTGGACTTAGCATTAATTAAATGAAAACTTTCCTGGATCATGATCAATGAGAAAATGGTTAGTATCCTGCGAGATACTGTGCGAGTCTGGAACCCATGGATTAGCTACCTGCAAGTTACACCCTAAAATTGCTCTCTTTTCTTTGTGCTGGTTCAGTGAAGCCTGTCGTGTGGGTGGATTCTATTCTATTTTTCTCATTGTTCTTTCTTTACTTTTCTTTTTCTCTATCTTTCTACCCTCTCTTGCCCGATTGGTCCTCTGATGGCTTGATGCCTTACTGTAATTTAAAGATACATTGTATAGTATTTTGTTTTCTTTTGTGCCTGATATATGGGATTATAGACCTTGGGCTTTGGCACATTAGGTTTGCTTCCACAGATCCAGCTTTTCTATACCTACAGTGGGGCAAAAAAGTATTTAGTCAGCCACCAATTGTGCAAGTTCTCCCACTTAAAAAGATGAGAGAGGCCTGTAATTGGCATCATAGGTAGACCTCAACTATGAGAGACAAAATGAGAAAAAAAATCCAGACAATCACATTGGCTGATTTGGAAAGAATTTATTTGCAAATTATGGTGGAAAAAAAGTATTTGGTCACCTACAAACAAGTAAGATTTCTGGCTCTCACAGACCTGTACCACCTTCTTTAAGAGGCTCCTCTGTCCTGCACTCATTACCTGTATCAATGGCACCTGTTAAAAGACACCTGTCCACAACCTCAAACAGTCACACTCCAAACTCCACTATGGTGAAGACCAACCAAAGAGCTGTCAAAGGACACCAGAAACAAAATTGTAGACCTGCACCAGGCTGGGAAGACTGAATCTGCAATAGGCAAGCAGCTTGGTGTGAACAAATCAACTGTGGGAGCAATAATTAGAAAATGGAAGACATACAAGACCACTGATAATCTCCCTCGATCTGGGGCTCCACGCAAGATCTCACCCCGTGGGGTCAAAATGATCACAAGAACGGTGAGCAAAAATCCCAGGACCACACGGGGAGACCTAGTGAATGACCTGCAGAGAGCTGGGACCAACGTAACAAAGGCTACCATCAGTAACACACTACGCCACCAGGGACTCCTACAGTGCTAGACGTGTCCCCCTGCTTAAGCCAGTACATCTGAAGTTTGCTAGAGAGCATTAGGATGATCCAGAAGAGGATTGGGAGAATGTCATATGGTCAGATGAAACCAAAAAAGAACTGTGTGGTAGAAACACAACTCGTCGTGTTTGGAGGAAAGAGAATGCTGAGTTGCATCCAAAGAACACCATACCTACTGTGAAGCATGGGGGTGGCAACATCATGCTTTGGGGCTGTTTCTCCACAAAGGGACCAGGACGACTGATCCATGTACAGGACAGAATGAATGGGGCCATGTATCATGAGATTTTGAGTGCAAACCTCCTTCCATCAGCAAGGGCATTGAAGATGAAACGTGGCTGGGTCTTCAAACATGACAATGATCCCAAACATACCACCCGAGCAATGAAGGAGTGGCTTCGTAAGAAGCATTTCAAGGTCCTGGAGTGGCCTAGCCAGTCTCCAGATCTCAACCCCATAGAAAAGCTTTGGAGGGAGTTGAAAGTCCGTGTTGCCCAGTGACAGCCCCAAAACATCACTGCTCTAGAGGAGATCTGCATGGAGGAATGGGCCAACATACCAGCAACAGTGTGTGCCAACCTTGTGAAGACTTACAGGAAATGTTTGACCTCTGTCATTGCCAACAAAGGATATATAACAAAGTATTGAGATGAACTTTTGATATTGACCAAATACTTATTTTCCACCATAATTTGCATATAAATTCTTTCCAAATCAGCCAATGTGATTGTCTGGATTTTTTTTCTCATTTTGTCTCTCATAGTTGAGGTCTACCTATGATGCCAATTACAGGCCTCTCTCATCTTTTTAAGTGGGAGAATTTGCACAATTGGTGGCTGACTAAATACTTTTTTGCCCCACTGCATGTGGTTGCTGTTGACCAATCCTGGTGCCTCCTGCTCCAAGGTGGATTAAGACGACCTGATATACTCTCTGTCTATGTCATTGATATATATGATTTTTTGGTCTTTTTGTGCTTCGCCTGCACTGTGAGTTTCTATTGTATGGCCATCGGGGGCCTATACTGCCACTGTTGTCTACATGTTTATACAGTATGTTAATCTTCAATAACAATACAAATATTTAAACAGAAAAATTATAAAAATTTAATTTGGGTACAGTGTTGCATGACCACGCAATTGTCATTCAAACTGCGACAGTGCTGAAAGCTAAAATAGGCCTGAGTAGGAAGGGGATTAAAGTGGTTAAAAAGCACTTGGTTCCAGCGCAATTTTTAAAACAACGCTGGGACTAAACTGGTTAATCATACAGTATAGGGTTCCTAGATGGAACATCAGCAATAACTCAGGGATGGGCAACAACATGAAAAGAACTGCCAAAAGGCATGAGAAAAAAAAAAAAGTAAGAACCCCCCCCCCCCCCCCCCCCCCCCCCAAAACAAAATGTTCAAATGACAGCCTGAAGCACCTTGTGACCAAAGCTTGCATCAGCCAAGGCCTAAACATTTACTTTAAAGAATCTGGAAAACGTGAACAGAGGACCAGGAGATTTCCCCAAGCAATAAACTGAAGGGTGAGCAGCAATATATCAAACAGGCTCACAAAAACAAAGTCAACAGACCAAAAACATTCAGATGACAGCTTAAAGCACCTTGTGCAAAGCTCACATCAGCAGAGACCTAAAGATCCACTCAATAAAACTTAAAGTATGAACAGAAGACCAGGTGGTGGCCTTGTAAACCTGTGCAACAGATGCTGAAAGGCCTAAGATACACCAACAAATTTGGTGGAACGAGCCCTGATAGGGAAGAGAGGAACTCGTTCTTTGAGGGCATAAGCCCTGGAAATAAGCTACTTGAGCCACCAAGCAAACATGGAAGAGGGAGTAGGATATCCCTCAGAAAGGGACTCAGGTTCTACCTAGTTGCAATATCTTCTTTCAGAAAAACTAACTGCTCTGATCACATCCACGCAGTGGGGTGAAATCTCTTTGGTGTGTTACAGGGCAGGACAAAGGGAAGTGAGGACAATGTCCTCAATGAGGGGAAATGAAGAGACCAGACCATTTTGGGGAGGAAAGAGGATCTGGGTCTCAGGAACACTTTGTCTTATGTATGTAAGACAAGAAAGGGCTTCTTACAAGAAAGGTATTCCTACTTGGAAGAATCTTGGATATCCACTGATCACAAAAAGAGAAATGATGACAGATCTTGTGGATGCCATACAAAATTTTGAGACTCACAGATATCAGTTTAGGGATTTTAGATTCAAAATGGAGTGAATGTCTCTGCTCAGTTTTGGGACTGTGAATAGGTCTGAGTGAACCCCATTGAACATTTCCTGTGCAGAAACTGAGGTTAACATTTCTTGCAGCTCACAAATTTGACCATTTTTGAGGTGAAGCTAGCAGATTGGAGTTAAAATTGAGGAGGAGGCAGGCATGTAAATTCTATTTTGTAGCCCCTGGAAAGACAGATTGGACCCAGGGGTCCAGGATATCTTTGATCCAGGTTGGTGCAAATGCCAACAGACGGTGAAATTTGCAATGCTGCACTGCTGAAGAACATATTGTGCATATATATTCCTTTTCAGTATTCTTTTTTTTATTGAATACATTTTTAACCACTTGCCTACAGGGCACTTATACCACCTTCCTGCCCAGGCCAATTTTCAGCTTTCAGCGCTGTCACACTTTGAATGACAATTGCGCGGTCATGCAACACTGTACTCAAATGAAAAAAATTTTATTTTTTTTTTTTAGACAGATAGAGCTTTATTTTGGTGGTATTTAATCACCTCGGTTTTTTTGCTAAACAAACCAAAAACAGCTGAAAATTTAGAAAAAAAAGTTTTTTCTTAGTTTTTGTTATAAAATTTCGTAAATAAGTGATTTTTCTCCTTCACTGATGTGCGCTAATGAAGCTGAAGTGATAGGCGCTGATAGGCTGCACTGATAGGTGGCACTGAGGGGCACTGATGAGGAGGCACTGGTAAGTGGCACTGATGGGCATTGACAGGCATCACTGATGGGCACTGAAAGGCAGCACTCATATATGGCACTGATAGACGGCACTGACAGGAGGCACTAATAGGCAGCACTGACATGCAGTGATAGGCGGTACTGACGGGCACTGATGCACACTGATAGGTGGCACTGACTGGCATTGATAGGTGACACTGAAAGGTAGCTCAGATGAGCACTGATATGTGGCATTGATGTGCACTGGTAGGCACTGATATGTGGCATTGATGTGGCACTGATGGGCACTGGCAGGTGGCATTGATGAGCACTGACAGCTGGCATTGATGGACACTGACAGGTGGCACTGCTGGGGCTACACTAATCATCAGGGCACACTGATCATCAGTGCCCTGATGATCAGTGTACATGTCCCCTTTGAGGAATGCCGATTACCGGCTCTCCTCTCGAGTTGTCAGCGTGACAGCTCGTGAGGAGAGAAATGCTGAAAACCGGTCATTTCCTTATTTACATGCGATCAGCTGCGATTGGACACAGCTGATCACATGACTGAGCTGACGTCTTCAGCTCTTTCCATTGATCATTGATTTGCTGTGTCCGAGGGACACAGCACACCACCGATCGCCACGCTGCGCACCCCCAGAGCCGCGCACGCACGGTTAGAGTGGGTAGACTTCATATGACGACCTCCCAGAACGAGAGAACCGCCTTGCGCCCATCATTTCCTTATATGGCGGGCGGGAGGCGGTTAAAGAAAAAAAAACAAACAAGCAAAACCAGCAATATTAATAAACAATGTCCCATCGTACATACAGATAGAAACAACAAAATGACAAATAATTCTGTAACAATTGGCAGTTAAGGCAAGACATAAATCACAGCCAATTCAAGGTTAACTATATCTCGCCTCACCAACATAGAGTGAACGATATACAGCAATACAAAGAGAATAAAGAGAACAATGAAAAGAATAGAAAGGAAAAACCAGATGAGGATCATTAAGGCACAGAAAGGTATTGAATCCATGGGTTTCATGTAGTATCAAATTTTTTTGAATTGTGCAGAATAGAAGCGAGTTTGTCATTAACCATAATCCTGTTAATTTTTTTTTTTTTTTTTTTAACATAATCAAGTGGAATGACCGATTGCCTCCAATGTCTAGCTATAGTAATTCTCGCTGCCAAAAACATATATGAAATCAATTTATGGGAATTCTTGGGAGCATTATCTGGAAATTTATGAAAGAGCGCCATCTCCGGGAATCTGCGAATATTTATACCTGTCATTGAGTTTACCAAATTGAACATTCAAATCCAAAATCTAGTTACAAGTGGGCATTGCCACCAAATGTGAAACATAGATCCAACCTGGCCACAACGCCGGAAACACATCGCAGAAGCAGACGGATGCCTCCTTGCAATTTGGGTGGGGACCAGATACCATCTCAACAAAGTTTTGTAACTTGCTTCAATTAAAGTGATATTGATAGAGATCTTGGACAGTGCTAGGGCAATATCCTGCCATTCTGATAAGTCATAATTCACAGCTAAATTTTTTCCCAATATTCCATATAAGGGAGTTTACAATTTGGGTCAGTGAGGACAGCATATATTACAGAGACCCGGGGAGAATCGCTATTTCTACAGGAAAGTTCAAAGTTGGTGAGCAAGGGTGACTCATCCAATCAAGCAAGCTTCGAGCGGAGAAACAAGACAATCTGGTTGTATCTCATGATTTCAGTAATAGGCATATATAATTTGTCTTTGAAATATTGCAGAGAATGTATACAAGTACCATTAAGATAGTCCCCTATCTGCAGCAAGACTTTATTGATCCACCATTGAAAGAGGGCCGGTGTCAATCCCGGAACAAATTCAAGGTGGCAGAAAATCGAAGCAATAGGGGTGTGTGGTGATGCCAGTGACTTACGATGGCGTACCCTGTCCCAAGTTGCCAAAGAGAACAACAAAGTGGGGCACAATATAGGAGAATGCAATCGATTAGGGAGCTATAGTAATGCCCCAATAGCAAAAGGGTGACACTTCGATAAAAACCCAATGGGGATTATGTCCCCCAACCAAGTTATAAGATAATTGAGCAATTGGCGAGGCTTGGAAGTATACATGAAGATTAGAGAGGCCAACACCACATCACGATCTGGAAGCATACAGTGTTTTCTGGTTCATCCGAGGCCGTCTAATATTCCAAATAAAATGAAGAACCTCAGCTTGTAGGAGCCATAAGTCTTGTTGAGGAATCACTATCGGTAAGGTCTGGAAATAATATAGTAGTTGAGGCAAAAAATTTAATTTTGATTGAGTTGACTCAGTCAGCCCAACAATGGAGATCATCCTTAAGTCTTTTAAAACGGGGAGGGTAGTTAACCTGATAAAGTGTCTTAATGGAATTGGTAAGATGTACTCCTAAGTAGGGTAAAGATTTATTTGCCCACTGAAAATCATAGGAAGTTCTAAGCTGTTGTTCTTCAGATATGGGCAAGGAAACATTAAGGGCAATCGTTTTTTGGGAATTTAGGACGTGAGAGCACAGAAGGAGTGGCAGCGAAAATTGGCATAATAATGCTAGTAAATTGGGAATAGTTATTGAAGGGGAAGTAATATACATGAGAAAACGTCATCGGCAAATAGGGATATTTATGTTCCTGTTGTCTGCAACGGAGCCATGGATTTGGGGATCAGTCTGAATAGCCATAGCCAAGGGTTTGATGGCCAGCGCAAAAGCAGTGGGGAAAGTGGACAGCCCTGTCTAGTCCCTCTGCGGGTCGGGAACACGTAGGATTTGTAACTTTTAATGGAAACCTGGGCCGAGGGATTAGCATATCACGAGTGTAGCAGGGCAAAAAACATCGGGCCAAAGGCCTGCAAAGTAGTAAATAAATAGTCCCTCTGCGGGTCGGGAACACGTAGGATTTGTAACTTTTAATGGAAACCTGGGCCGAGGGATTAGCATATCACTGAGTCGTAGCAGGGCAAAAAACAATCGGTGCCAAAGGCACACTGCAAAGTAGTAAATAAATATCCCACATCCCACATCAGACTATCACAGGCTTGTGAAGGTCTAGAGAAAGAAGTAAGAGCCCTAGAGAGAGGAGCAGCCCAATTGGAGCGGGCACCCAATATCAAAGTAAAAGATCTACAAATCTGATACAAATCCCAACTGGTCTTTATGAATATATTGTGTCAGAAAGGAGTTAAGGCATACAGCTAAGAGTTTCGTTAAAATTGTCAGGTTGCAATTAATTAAATAGGATGATTATGAACATCAGTGGAATCCTTATTAGGTTTAGGAATGACACTGAAATATGCTTTATTCTCATCTAAAGGGACCACCCCCTCCTCTCGCAATGAATTAAAGTATATTGTCATATGAGGAGTGTTCACAAAAAGTTTTGTAGTACTGGTTGGGGAGGCAGTCAGGGCCCGGAGATTTATGCAACGGTTTAATAATTTTAAGACGCTCCTCAGAAGTAATGGGTTGTTCCATAAGCTCTTTATATGCTTCAGTAAGAGAAGGGATAGGCAAGGATTCTAAGAGAAGGATTAAATAGAAGATGGTTCCATTGGCTGCGGTGGACCATATAGAGATGTGTAAAAATTATGAAATTCCCAAATCTTCTGTGGATCCTGCATAATAGTACCCCCCGTCTGCCGGAGCTTAGGTAGTGGCAAATGAGTAAATGTAGGGGCAAGCTTACGCACAAGGAGAGAACCTGGTCTATCTCTCCATGTGAAATATTTATGATTCATCCAACGTAATTGTTTTTCCGGCCCGCGTAGTGAGGCAAAGGTTAAACTCCAGCCATGCGTGTTCCGTCTTAGATAAAAAAAATCCGGGGTCGGGGTAATTTTATGTTGAGCAGCTAACAATTCATATTCTCTAGAGTTGGTAGAGATCAACTCTTCACGGGAGTTGTGTGCACTAAAAAACAGATATAAAGTTCAATACTTAATATTACTCAGTCCATTTTGTGACATTAGATCAGGGATTAAAATTTCGAGTCTAGACCTACTAGCCAGCCATAAACCTTACTCTCCATCAGTTGCCCCACCCAACCTTGCCCAGGTCCACCTCCAACCCGGCTGGTACCCAAACCCCGCCCCCAGCCCTGCCCCCAACCACGCCCCCTTAAAGCTTATGAAATTACATTTTTCTTTAGAATAAAGAGTCCAAAATATAAAAAACTGCAATTATAACATAGCTTTATTATGTCAATTTAAACATAACAGCAATAGCTTAATTGCAATAGGGTGCAATCAAAATATGAAGTTTTACAGCTTTAAAACTGTAGTGAACATTTTGTATTTTTTTTGTTTATCTCCTGCATCTTTAAAAAGAGACTTTAGTTACTAAAGTCTCTTTTAAAAGATGTAAGTTTAGTTTACAGAAGTATAGCATAAGAAAAAGTGCTTATTTTGATGCCAAAAAACATGGAATAATAGTTACTGTAAACATGTATTTTTTATCTCCAGCAGAGACCTTAGAGAAGTGTGGCATTAAGAAAAAAGAGAAAAGTGCCTCTTTTGATGGCCAAAAAAACATTGCATAAAATAACAATAGTAAACATTTTGCATTTTTTATCTCCAGCATCTTATTAAAAGAGAGCTTAGAGACGTAGTGCATTAACAAAAAAGTGCTTATTTAGATGACATGGCATAACAAAGCAGCCATGGTTTGTGTTGTACAGCAGGACCAAGACTTGTGTAATATCCTTTTTCTGATGCAAAATACCACTTCAATGGCTGTGTGTGGATTGCAATCTATTCAATGAAGAAGAAAAAAAAACGCCAACAAATTATTTTTTGGATGACAAAAAGCAGTAGGAAGCCAGTTTCACATCAAGATTTGCAATGGTTTTCATTGTACAGCAGGACAAAGACTTGTGTAATACCCTTTTTCTGATGCAAAATACCACTTCAATGGCTGTGTGTGGATTGCAATCTATTCAATGAAGAAAAAAAAAAACACCAACAAATTATTTTTTGGAAGACAAAAAGCAGTAGGAAGCCAGTTTCACATCAAGATTTGCAATGGTTTTCATTGTACAGCAGGACAAAGACTTGTGTATTACCCTTTTTCTGATGCAAAATGCCACTTAAATGGCTGTGTGTGGATTGCATTCTATTCAATTAAGAAAAAAAAAACATCAAAAAATGATTATTTGGATGCCAAAAAGCAGTAGGAAGCCAGTTTCACATCAATATTTGCTATGGTTTTCATTGTACAGCAGGACTAAGCCTTGTGTAACATACCCTTTCTGATGAAAAATACCACTTATCAATGGTTGTGTTTGGATTGTATCTTTAAGTGGTGGTCCATTAACGGCAATCATCAAAAGATCATCCAAAGTCTCCAGTGTCGGTGATGAACGATAGACCGTCTTTATTCTGTTTTGGTAGCCTAAGCCACGTTCACATGAGGCGGTTGTTGGGAGAAGTACGGCACAGAAATTGACCAGAGGGAGTATGTTGCTGAATCTTTCTTTCTGCTGATTCAATCTTTTCAGAGTCTCATTAAAAGAGAGTCAATTTTGAAAAGA